TTCAAAACCAAAAGAAGATCACCCCGAAGCAAGCACGGTGGCAAGACTTTCTGGCGGAGTTCGACTACACATTGGTGTACAAGCCGGGCAAAGCCAATGTCGTGGCGGATACGCTTAGTCGGAAGGCTTCCTTTGCGGCGATTACTCAAGTGCAAGGGGACCTTGCCGACCGAATCAAGGAGGGATTAACCGAGGATTCCTTAGCCACGAACTTGATAGAAATGGCTAAGAAGGGCACGACAAGGAAGTTTTGGGAAGAGAATGGCCTACTCTTCACGGTCGGGGATCGACTATTTGTGCCGCGGTGGGATAATCTTCGGCGGGATATCCTTAAGGAGTGCCACGACTCCAAATGGGCGGGACACCCAGGTATTCATCGTACAAAGGCGTTGGTCGAGCAATCGTTTTATTGGCCTAACATGCAGGATGATATTAATGCCTACGTGCGGACGTGCTTGGTTTGCCAACAAGACAAGGTTGAGCAAGCCAAACCGGCGGGACTTTTGGAGCCATTGCCGATTGCCGAACGGCCGTGGGATAGTGTGACGATGGATTTCATCTCGGCGCTACCAAAGTCGGACGGATGCGGATCAATCATGGTGGTGGTCGATAGATTTTCCAAGTATGGGACGTTCATACCGGCGACAAAAGATTGCAAAGCCGAGGAAGCCGCCCGACTATTCTTGAAGCATGTGGTCAAGTATTGGGGAGTGCCGAGATATATCATTAGCGACCGTGACCCACGCTTCACCGGGAAGTTTTGGAGGGAGCTTTTCAAGCTCTTGGGGTCGAGTCTCCACTTCTCGACGAGCTTTCACCCGCAAACCGACGGCCAAACCGAGCGGGCGAATCACTTGTTGGAGATATACCTCCGACACTTTGTAAGTGCCAACCAAACCAATTGGGCTCGTTTACTTGATGTTGCACAATTCTCGTATAACTTGCAGCGTAGCGAGTCTACCAATCGGAGTCCTTTCGAGTTGGTGACGGGGCAACAACCGACGACGCCCCACGAGTTGGCACGGGGATACGAGGGAGCGAGTCCGGCGGCGTACAAACTTGCTAAGGGATGGAACGAGGAGCACGACATAGCAAGGGCATACTTGGCAAAGGCTGCGAAACGGATGAAGAAGTGGGCGGACGACAAGCGACGCCCACGGGACTTCGAGGTCGAGGACCAAGTGTTGGTCCGAATATTGGGGATGAATGTAAAGGCGATCCGTCAAGTGCACAAAGGCTTGACACGGAAGTACGAAGGACCGTTCGAGGTGGTGAAGAAGGTCGGAACCCGATCGTACCGACTCAACCTACCCGACAACTTCAAGATCCACCCGGTCTTTCACGTGAGCTTATTGAAGCCGTATCACAAGGATGAGGAGGATCCGTCCCGGAACGAGTCACACCGCGCTCCACCGACGACGACGGTATCCTACGAGAAAGACATTGCGGAGATCATGGCGGATCGTGTGATGGGCAAACGGGGGACACCCCGTTGGACCGAATACTTAGTCCGGTGGAAGGGCGAGCCGGATAGCGAGGCGTCATGGGAAAAAGAACAAGACCTATGGCAATTCAAGAACCATATCGAGGCGTACCGAGCGAGCACTTGACGAGGACGTCAAGGTTTAGGTGGGGGAGAATTGTCACGGTCGGACTTTCAAGCGGACACCCGGCGGTGGTTTTCCTATACTTAACACTTTTCATTATGCCAAAGATTTCACTCAAACTCACTAGCATCTTCTAGAAGGTTCCGGAAGGTGGTAGAACTTTGCATTAATGAGGTAGTTGAGAGTTGATGGTTGATTGTTGGTAGATTGTATTTAATTCGGTAGTTAGGAAGATAGCATTTATTCATTTGGCTTGTATAAATAGGTGCTTGCACCTCACTTGTAAGTATCCAAGTCTTTAGCAATCAAAAGCATTTCTCCCCACACTTTCTCTCTCTAGTTTCTCTCTCTAGAAAGCCTTTGGTTTTTGTGGTGCTTGGCCGAGTCGGGAAGCCTGCCTTAGTAGCCGACGGGAGTGAGTTGCTAAGGGGCGCACGGTTACTTCGAGTGAAGGAAGTTAACCCGTGACACTTGGAACAATAAGATTCACAATTATTTCCCCAAAATCGGTTTGTGATAACTAAAATTTGTTACTATTGCAATTTGCATACAGATTCACACGGAATTTTTATTCGAAAATCAATGAATAGAATTTTATAGGGAAACGATCAGATATAGCAATTTTGTGTGGTTGTAGACCCTGAGTAGTTATCACAATTATTTATACTATTTTTACTGGTAAGTTTCCAGGTCGAACACAAGGATTTTAAGTCATGAATTTCAACAGTGAAAATCTTGGAGAAAGCGACGAAGGATACAAGAAAGGATCCGCTTGTAGCGGGCCCGAATTTTTACTACGGAAAGCGGTAAATAAAGCAATAAGGATGAGGTGAGCGGAGATAAGCGAAGCGAAAGCGAGGGGTGGAGTGCCAGTGGTAACCAGATGATCGAGACATGAGCGAAAGTGGGGACCAGATGATCGGGACATGGATGAATCGCGGTTACCAGAGGATCGGGGTGTGAGTAAGCGGCATATTTTGTATATATATATATATATGTAAATAAGCGAATTAGAGTGAATGAGAGGTGTTGTGTCTTATCTGTGCGTTACTAAATGGATAGATTTCCCTGGATGTAGTGAGCGAATGATGTAAGTGTGTTATCGGAAGAATATATGTATATTATGAGAATGATGAGAGAAAGATATTGTAATTATATAAACTAAATTGTAAAGAACTCATCACGCTGGTATTTTTGGCCTGGGGGGATTTACAACAAGACTTCAATGACACCCAGAATTAAGACATTATAAGAAAGAAACCCTACTGTCACTAGGAATTTCTGCGACCTAATAGACCCCGTCTATGTCCCGTTAATTTTCCCAATTTCTGCCTCATTAGTGGCTTTACCCCCCGATGTTACTACTATTTAATCAGAATCGAATTTAGCACAGCAGTTAAGCAGGTCGACAAGGCCCCCGCGTACTTAACTACATTGAACTACCTGAAAACCGCTTTTGGCGCATAACAAGGCTTAGATAATTAATTCTTCTCTCGCTCTATTCCAGTGATATGAAATTCTCTAAACTTGATTTATATAAGTATAGAAAATTGTGAAAGAATTTAATTCGAAGAAGTGAATGATATTTCTTTATATACTACGAAAGCGTGAAAGATTAGAACTACAAAGCTGTAAATGAAAGCAGTAATCTAATATAAGAAAGCAGTAAAGACGTGACCAAGGGAGAGGGAAGACCACTACTCCTTTGGCCATTCCCGTGGAGAACTCCCTTACAGGGTTGGAGCTCTCGGAAACAGGAAGACGATGAATGCTAAAAATGTATGTAGAAATCACCAAAAATTCGATCCTCCTTTACATAAAGATATCTGGCCCTATTTATAGCAGGTGTGAAGAGACGGTTGCAAGTAGTTGTTAGGCAGTTCCAACCGTTGAGCAGTTAGGCGGTTGCTGGTAGTTATTATGTTGAAACAGTTGCTGGCCATAACTCCCAGGGTGCCTGCTTCGCTTGCGTTGAGGGTTAAGGGCACAGATCTTCCTCGCTTGCTGGGGTGCTGGAGGGCATCAGCGCAGCTCGGCTCGCTTGTGCTGGCTGGAATTGGAATGGCTGTACCGCTGCAGTTGAAGTACTTAGTTGAAATCTGGTGATAGTTTGCAACGGTGGGTATCTAGAGTGTCGCTTGCAAGTGGGAGAGGCTATCGCTTGCGGACTGTGAAGGTGGCCGCTTGCCTCTCATGCCTTAGTATTTTCAAAATATGTTCTGGGCGCTTGTGAACGAAGGTGGTTGTCGCTTGCGGCGTCTGCCTTAGCTTTTCTGGTTCTAGATTACCGCTTACGAGGGCAAAAATTATTAATAATCTCAACAACGAACTCTAGATCATGCCTAGTGATATAAATCAATATTGTATGCCGATTACGAATTATTTTGATGGTTCTTATGCAGAAATTCGAGTAATACACTTTGTCAAGCTAAGAATATGCTCATATTTGGAGTCATCAGTTTGCTTCGGGTTTAAATGATCCATCTCTTTATGTGAAGAAATAAGGCAAGGATTTTATACTTGTGTGCATTTTTGTTGATGATCTTATCTACGTGGGAATTTAATTCAAAATAGTTGAAAATTTCGAGCAAAAAAATGATGAAGGATTTTGAAATGACCAATTTGGATGTGATGAGATACTTCTTACGAATTCAAGTGAAACGATCTAAAGGAGAAATATTTCTCTCTTGATACAAAAATTAATTTTACATTTAAAACATCACATCAATACCCATTTATATCATATCATACAACAACTACAATTCAAATTTTTTACTATTCAAATCCCAACTCAAAATCTAAACTTCGAAACAAACAAACTAGTTGTGTTGGCTCTAGTATAATGTTATTTCTTGGAGTTCAAAAAAGTATAAACTAGTTGCACTATCATCTGCCAAAGCTGAATACTACATCACATCATAAGCTGTTTGGTTAAGAAGAGTAGCTGATGGATGATCCATCTTCAATAACTCCAGGAATTGAGCTTCCATCGTCACTTTATAACAAATTAAATTAAATACTATGATTCACAAGAGACAAGGCAATTCGCACTTTATATTTTCTCACCAAATCAATTTCAATCCAAAGCAATAGTGTTCTTGAAACTTGCTAATTAAGGAATGAAATAATTAGCAATCAATAAATAAATTCAAGAGAATGTTGAAAGACAACCAAAGAATAAATTTAGTACTATAATAGTCCTATACTTGAATTCTTTCATTAATATAGTACTCCTTTAAAAAAAAAAATAGATAGAAATACAAAATTTTATTTTTTTATGAAAAAAGATAAAAAAAATAGTATTTTTTACTTTAAAAAAAAATAAAAATAAATTTGAACGAGAGAGTACTTAATTTCCTGCAAATCCATCTCAGAGGAGGACGACGACCATGATTTAGGATAAAAAGGGAATTGCAAATTGCCCGGAATAGCAGCCAACAAATTAAATACAACAACGATAACAGATATATATATATATATATATATATGATGATGATCCAAATTCCAAATTAATTACACTTCTTTCACCTCCACTTCAGCCGTCGGCGCCGGAATATTCTTCACCTCCTCCTCCTTCTTCTCCTCCTCCTCATCGCGATCCACTTTTTCGACCTCCGGCGGCGGCGGTGGTGGCGCGGGTGGGGCGTCGATCTGGAAGGCGTCGACGGGGAAGGAGCGGAAGAGGCCGGCGGGAGTCTTGAAGGTGATTTTTCCGGTGGGGGGGTCGTCGACGTAAATGTCGCTGAGAGTGACCCAGAGGAGGAGCTCCTTGGTCTTGACGCCGGTGAGCTTCCTGATCCGGTTGGGCTCGACGTAGGCGGTGACCTCGGTGGCGTACTGGACGAGGCGGTCGATCTTCTGGAACTTGTGCTGGCACTTGTTCTTCTGCCGGAGCCACACGAATCCGGTGTCCTTTATGTAGCCGCACTCCTCGATGTCTTGCAGCGGCAGCAGCCCGTTGGGGAGCCCGATCTCCGTCAGCAGGAATTTCGACTTTTCCTGGCACTTGGCGTCGCCCTCGTACAGCTCCGACGCCTGCCGCCGGATTTCGTCGGTGATCACAGACATTATTGTCTTAATTGAGAATGGATGTGTACTGTCTGTCTGTCTATATGTGACTGATGATGGTGGTGGTCTGTAATATAATCTGTATATATAGGCCTCGATCTGATCTGATCTGATCTGATCTGATCTGATCTGCCATTATTGATTGATTTGGATTGAATTTAATTGTGGTATAAGTTTGGTGGTTGGGGTGAGCATTTTCATGGTAATAATTAACTATTGCGTGCGTGCCATTGATAGATCTTTTGTTGTTACAGATCGATCGAGGACTGGACTAGGACTAAAGAGTACTGTCGCAAAAAGGGTTTTCAAAATCTTGCTTGCTAGCTAGCTAATAGATTACGGTGTGTTTGTTTGGGATTTGGATTTTGCTATGTGATTTGAGCTGAAATGTAATATAAATAACTACTATATTGATACGATCTTTTGAATATAAAATTATTTTTATTAATATAATATGAAAATTAAAAAATAGATATACACAGTAAGATTTTAATTACAATATGGTGTGTCAAAATAATTGTTTATGTTTCATTTGGCGGAGTGATGATTTACCCCAATCATTACATGAAAATTAGATATACAATATATACTTTCAATTAATATTATTTTTTAAAATTTTAATTTGAAATTACTATTATTTACTTTGAATGATTCTTCATAAATATATATATTATTTTCTAATTTCTATGTAAGTAAATATTCAAATTTACAATCTATTTCAAATCAATTTTAAAGCATAATTAAACAAGTCAATATAATTAAAATTATGTATTAATACTTCATATTTATAAAGTGTGTGATGAACATAGTTTTTTTATGCCGATTCCAATAATAATTTACGTTGGATGAATAATTATAATATATATATTATAATTATGAATAATTATAATATAATTATATATTGTCTATCATTCATAAATGTACCATCTTGCTAAATTAGAAAATCTAACACAATAACTACAATAAATTAAAAAATTCAATTTATTTATTGGTTATGATTTGCTCACAAATTCAAAAAAGCATGTTGCAGCAGTCAATGTGAAACTCTTTAACCTCTAAATTTCAAGAATAACAAGACATTGACTCTATTAAATAAATATTTAAATAAAAAATAAGGTTTTAAGTTAACTGAGAATATTAATTTGTTGGATTAGTGTTTTTAGGTAGAACGATTCTTTATATATATTATTAAAGAAAATATAATATATACATATTAACACAATATATAATCTTATTCCATTTATAACAGTTCAACATAAAATATTATCTTTTCTATTATCAATATAATTTTTTATATCCAACATAAAAACATATATATTCAACACAAAATGAACAAACCGTATATTTTTCAAAGTAATCAATAATAGTACAAAAAGAAATATATAAATATAAATATATATTATAGCCCAATCAACACAGAAAATAGTCGAAAAACGTGGCCCGAAAGAAAATGTAAGGCTATGAAAGCTCATTAGCATTGAATAAGTCGAAAAATAAATGAATTCAACCAATGCGACAATGGGCTAGTATCTTAATATCATAGTGGATGAAATGACAATGAAGTAAAACAATAAGCTCGTGCTTTATATCATCAAAATAGGAAGTAAAATTTTACATATGAACATGTGTGGGTGATTGTAAAATATAATCCAAAGTGGAAACAATGACACCTGTGCAACGTCCTTTTAATAAGACAGGAACAATATTACACATCTTCACATATTATGGATAAGGACTCTGACTTAGATAATAGTGAACCAAAAGTTTGTCAAATGGGTCAGAAGACAACAAAAATAAAAAAGGAAAGCTAAGAAGAAATATGTAAAATCAAATAGCGTTCTTGTAGATATTCGTGCCGGAATAATGAAAAATGTAGAAATCGGAAATGGTATAGAAGATAAGTTCTAGAAGCTTAACATAATAAGAGCTTGTGAATTTTTGACAAATGACACCGAATTCATAAATGCTACCATTGCATATGCAATGTTGCAAGAAGATCAAAGAAAAACTTTAGTTTTTATTAGTATGTTATTTTTATTGTCGTAAACTTTTATTTTTTGCCAAGACATTATAATCATTTTAATATTTATATTTTCTTAAAAAAATATTATAATTTTTTGTAATATTTAAGTTTCTATATTTCATTTATTAGTAAATTATTATAATTATTCTTTTTTTTTTAACATATTTAAATTTTTTATTTAACATATTAAATAGTTATTATAAACTAACCATTACAGAAAACCTTTATATATTAAGTAGTTGTAATGGTAATATTCTTTCAACTTCATTTCAACATAGATATTCTAAATTCTTCTTCACAAACTCTTTCAAATTTATCTCTATAGCACTCGCTCTAAAATGTCTTAGTACGTTGAAGAATATGCTATTACAAATGATATCGAAAAATAACTGGAAGCAGATAATGGAAGTGACAAACAATTCTCATGTGGTTGGATAAAATTGAGAAAGAGGAAGTTGAAAATTCTAAAAGTTTCCGTCGAACGCATATCAAATGAGATCAAAATGAAGGTGTGTTTGACTTTTCAATGACTATATCTTCGAAAACTCTATCTATTATTCAAACATGTTCAGGAGAAGGTTTCGAGTGATAAGAGAATTATTTGTTCAAATAGTCCAATTCCTTGAAAAAATTCTTAAATAGGCAAATGCCTTTATTTTATTCAGAAAATTACAACGACCATTCAACAATTAACACATGAATCACCGGCTGACCTCTTCGATGAGTACATACAAATTGGTGAGAGCACTACAACAGAATGTTTGAACAATTTTTGCCTGTACATCATAGAAATTTATGAGGCATACTATTAACAAAGACCAAATCATAATGATGTCACACATTTATTTCATATACACTTGGAACATCATAATTTCTCTGGCATGTTAGAAAATATCGAATATATGCACTGAGAATGGAAAAATTATTTAGTTGGATTGAAAGGTCAATTTACTCACAAATGGTCCAATGTGAGCAAGAATTTTAAAGAATATTTGGAACAATCTTGAAGCAGTTATATCAACGGACCTATGGATATGGAATGCTTATTTAAGAGTCGTATAGTCTAATAACAACATCAACATTCTTAATCAATCACCATTATTCAATGAAATTTTGCAAGGACATGCCCCTGTAGTACAATTTATAGTGCATGTTGTATAATATAATCAAGAATATTATTTAGCGGATGATATATCTAGAGTGATCAAAATTTGTAAAAAGTTTTGCAAATTGAATAGATCCAAAACGTAGCAAGTTGAAACAAATGTAAGAGGCCACAAGGGAATATGTAGAGCAAGCGTTTGTAGCGCTTCAATTTTGTTGGGTTATTGTACGTAAGTACATGCTGTAACTCGATTATGAAATAAAGAAATTCTAAAAGATATAATGCATACATGCATTATATTGCATAATATGATTATTGAAAAAAAAATACAGTACAAAACTGGAATGCCGACGACAACAATGCAAATTCCATGGACGGATTGACACGAACTGTCCACCGAAATTTTTAATCTTACCTTCAACAAACTACAAAATTTTACGATCATGATGAACATCACCGAGTGATATTATGGTTACTAAGTTTGATTATTATTGTTTGTATTTGTGATATTAACATATTTTAATTTTTTATATTATCAAAGTAAAGGTTAAAAAATTATTATAATATTTAATTAACTAGTAATATAAAGAAGTAATGAATTGTTAAAATTTGAAATGATAAAAATAAATAATAAATATATATATATAATATAAATGGTGGAGTCTATATTGATGTAATTGTAAGTTGAATGAAGGATTTGGTCCATTTGGAGAGTGAAGAAAAATAGAGGATTGAATAGAAAGGTAATGTGCCATGACACAAAAATAAAAAAAATAAAAAAAATAAAAATAAAAATATAATAATAATAATAATGGATGAAGGAAATTTAATTGTAGATACTATAAAAGCAGGTGCAATACAAAATTCTTACAAAATAAGAACTTCTCGATGCTTATGTAGTATTTCAAATTAAAATTATCGTTATTTATTTTACCGTACTCTTTAATAAAATTGTAGCTTTTTTATATAAAAAATATCACATTAAAATACTATTTAATCAAGAATTGAATATTAGGCACCTCCAAAATGTTCGACACAAGGCAAGGCATATCCGCAGGTCACAAGGGCGAGCCCATCACCACAACCAATGTCCAATGCCACTCAGTCCACTTCACCATCTAACCCGGCTCTGATACCAGAGTTGGACTGAGTCAACTCAACAACACTAGTATGATATTGTCCGCATTCGGCTAAGCCCGCACGGATTTGTTTTTAGATTTCCTCAAAAAGGCCTCATTCTAGTGGAGTTCACTTGGGACTTATAAGGTGTGTAATTTTCTTCACAACTTCCAATGTGAGACTTAGTTTGCACCCCAACATCTTTTTATTTTTCGAAAATATAATTATACATTTTATCACATTTTAAAATTTATAATTTATAATTTTTTTATTTTAATTAAATTATTTAATTATTTTAATTTTAATTTATAATTAATTTTATTATATTATAATTATTTTTACTAGTATATTATTTAATTACTTAATTATATCATAGTTAAAATTTGATGGCCAACTGAAGTAGACAAATTAGCTGGGACGAATTGACTAATTTCCGCGGCATACAAAAGTCAATGACTAAATTAATTGAAAAGGTAGCAACAACAATAAAGTAATAAAATTGTGATGAAGAAAGACAAATATATATATATATATATATATTATGTATGTATCCCCCAACCACAATCCAATATCTGCTCATTCATTAATGGAGAGAGGCAGTGGCAGTTGGGAGAAAACAGGCACCCATTTTAATTTTAATCTTATTTATTTGGAGCCCATACTTTCATAATCATTTTAATTTAATTTAATTAACCAACCACTATTCACTTCCAATTTGTTATACATGAGCTAATATCTCTAATTCATAACTTTATTTTCGCAAGTTATACTCTCCCTGTGCTAAACAAGGTGCAATATTTGCTTACGGGTTTTTAGATGTGTAGT